GAAGTGTACGTGACTGAGCTGGGAAAAATAGATGGGACGTACAGGGAGATGTTTAAGGCATGGAACAGAGAAGAAAGGACGGTTGCTATACTGGGGCATAGGAGGTGGGTTGAAAAGGCGGGAAGGGATATCGTTAGGATAGACAGACTAGGGAAGACATTTTTGAGCCACCTTTGGCAAAGTAGGAAGGAACGATTGGCCATCGGTGATCGGTCCTGTGGGAACAATGCTCCGTCCTCTCGAGGACGCGTGGTCAATGGTCTAACCGCTAAGGCATGCAAAACATAAGAGTACGCCCCCCCCCCCCCTCCCCCCTCGGCCTTTCGCGTTCCGCATGCCCCCTTCATCATCGGCCCAATCGGCCTCAGCCGGCCTCGAAAATTATCCCCGGAAGAGATCATAGAGCGCTGTTTCTACGCCCTCATCAACGAAGGTTTTCGATGCCTGGAGGAAGGCATTGCCGAGCACCCCGATGACATCGACGTCGTGTGGGTGTACGGCTACGCCTGGCCCGGTTGGAGAGGAGGGCCCATGTTCTGGGCGGACGAGGTTGGCGCGCGTACGCTAGTACGGCAGATGGTGAGTAGCCCATGTAGTGAATCATTGCTACATGGCATTACTTGTTATGCATGGAATTGCCAGCCCGAATTCATCCAAAGGCAGTCGGCAGCTCATGCAACTGTAGAGCCGAGCGTTTGTTGTGTGCTGAGGTACAAGGGGCGGGGAAACAAGGTGGGTGGAAGGATGGGATGTGGCACGACACGCCGTGGGCAGACAACGGGGAAGGAACGAGCGATTGCCGCAATCTTACTCACGATGACCGCTGCGTCTTGGTGGTTTTGCCTTGCTTACCTTGCGCTAGCATGCAACTGAAATTTGGTGTTGGCTATGCGGAAACGGAAACGGAAACGGCAAACCTTTGTCGCGGTTGTCTTGTGCACTATTTAGCAGTACACGGAGTACTTGCTGTTACTGTGTCTGTAATTGGGTTCCCACTCACCCCAATGCAAATAGCTGATCCTTCCTACACTGTCGACCCCGCGTGCGGTGTGCGCAGGCCAAGTACCAGGAGCTCCTGCCGAACGTTTCGCACTGGCAGCCCAGCCCGTTGCTCTTGCGTCTGGCTGAGACAGGACAGACCGTTTCCGCCTACTATGCCAACAAGGCGATCAACAGCCGACTCTGATGTTGTATTCGGTGTCGCGCGTGCGTGTGCGTTTGTAACGTTTTCGTGCCTAGGACATGCAGCGAGTTGGTGCATGTTGATGATCGTGGCTAGTCATTGTATTGTAGCAGGTTTGGGTGAAGGTGGAAGGTCGGAGATGAGTGAGTGACGGGCTTCTCCTCAGACAATTGACAGGGTAGGTTTTTGGATTGTCCTGACTGCACAAGGCGCGCCCCAAGGCCCTGGCTCGTCCTGCGTATTGTGGTTGTGGGACCTGCCTCTGCTGCATTTTTTGTGGGAATCTCTCTGACAAACGTACATGCGACATGGACAGAAAGGTGTAGGAGTTCCCGTAGCGAGCCCAGACAGCACGAAACGATGGGAAGATGCCACTACTCTTAGGGGAGCGGGAAACACAACGGACAAATTTGCTAGTCTACGGTGTACACGAACACACTACAGTAGGACTACGCTGGCCGGGACAAAACTTCAAGTACGGCACAAATGAGCCTGCCAAGTCGCCCGAAGGCGTTCCACCCATCCATGGTCGAGAGAACTCTCGGCTACGGGTTTGGAAGTGCACCACCCTGCGTTCTACTGCTGTAATTGACATCAGCTCGGTGCGAAAGGTGCTGCTGTTGTGCTTGGAAAATATGACAAATGACATTTTTTGTTCGGACAACATAAAAAAGTCATCTGCTGTTTAAATCTCGGCACACAGGGAAGGGAAAGATTTGTGCAGCGACCGGAAAACCCATGGAATCCACTTCCTTCACGCCCTTGACAATACCGAAGGCATCTCTGGGCAGTGTTAAAACCTTCCTGACACGATAACGAATACAACCAACTAGTGTGGTTCCAACTCAGCGTACACATAGTCAAACGTGGAACTCCCTGACACACCTTGGCGACAAGACCTGTTTCAAGCGCCCCCCGCCGACGCGAGGAAGACCTCCACATACAACAACCAGGACGAGCCCACTAGTTAACTCACATACAAGGCCGTCTCCTTCCCACGGCCCATCCATTCCACACGGAAAATCGACGAGTTCCAAAAAGCACAAGGCCGCACAAACGAAGGATGCGGGTTAGCATTATGCCGCTATCGAGAGAAGCACAGTACGCGTCGTCACCATGACAACGCGGTGCCCTTGTGGCACTGCCACACACAGACTACGCCATCCCACCCGTCCGATTCCTACCATTCAGGGTTAGTTTTGTCTTGGCCAAGAAAAAACGCCAAGGGTATGCATAACGAAAGATCACAAACAGCAGTGTGGCCGTTGCTTGCAATTCCAAATCCCCCAATTAACCGCACTGCAACGTCTGCAGGGCCACGCCCCCTTGCATGCCTTGTCTGAACAGCGTACGTATGCATACGTGCACTGAGAGTTGAACACATGAGCCCCAGACAAAGGAAAAATATGGTACCATGGTACAGCATGAAAATGACCGCCAAACAAGTGCGACGGCTGACAACTCCACACACTCAACGCAAAACACCGGAGGGCCGACGACAGGCTTGGACAAACAGAATCCCTAGACTTGTGTGTCTGCCTTTCTGTGTCGCCGCCCCCTTCTTGCTCCCCCGCCATCCACAAAGCAACGTAAAACACCAGCAGTGGGAGTGAGACCGAGAACCAGCACCACGTCGTCCCCGGCCATGGCCCCTAACAACTGCCGCTGCTGCTGCTGCGGAATACGAACAACAGCCGTGTGACTCGTGGGCCGCCCTCTCCGCGGGGGGGGGCTGGTCACTAACCATCCAAACAATAAATATGTACCCAAAAATATCCCCTGCGCGCCGCCTCCGAACTCTCTACCTCTTCTACAAAGGGGAGCCCTCGCAACCTAGTGCCGCCATAGAAGAGATTTACTCCAGGCAGCCTCCGACAAAATACAAACGACGGGGCCCCCGAGGTGAGGAGTGAGGAGAACCGAAAAAAATACATCTACGGCGGTCGCTCTAAAAATTAATTGCCCAGGCAGACAGGAGCGGGCCTTAGCTCTTGGCGTCGGAACTGGTACCTGCCTCAGAACCCCAAAACTAGACGGTTCTTCCAGGATTTACTTCCAGAAGATTCTTCTAGATGGTTCTTTCTAGAAGGTTCTTCTAAAAGGTTTTTCAAGAACAACCTTTTAGAAGGTCTCTTCTGCCGCGCTGACGCCCTTGAGATCAAGCAACTCTTGCTCTCTTGCGGCGAGGATTGCAGAAAGTCGCTCGATTTCGCTAAGGTACGAATCGTTCTCGGTCCTCAAGACCGCGTTCTCATCGGAAAGGCCCTTTTGCTGTCGCTCCATCTCCTCCAACAAGTCCATGCATTCCGCTGCGCGTAACCAACACCAACACCAACGCGTGGGCGAGCGATGGGAAAGGAGGGCGTGGTGGGTCAAAAAAAGAGTGTGTGTACGAACGAGACAAAGCCAAAAACATGATAGGATAAGATAGGATTGACAGAGACTAACGGGTAAAACTTACACGCGGCACTCAGGAGGGCGCTACCCCGTGGTGCTCAAAATATGGCACAGGTGCAAAGCGCACTCTACCACCATCACGGCAAGCCCGGCCAACACGTCATAATAGAATAAGAAAACGCCACGGCTGTTGGGGTTGTCACGCTCGTCGTGCTATTGAGGGCATATACTGGTCACGGAGGCTTTCATGCTCAATAGCCCTTTCTACACCTACAAACACTACAGCGTTTGTCGGGCAGGTTTTTCTCACCGATATCAGCCTCCTTTTCCTCGAGCTCCCTCTGCAGGAAGTTGCTATCCGCCTGAGACAAGGCCGTGCCTATCTCCACCTCCTGCAGCTTCTGCCGCAGCTCCTCCACTTCCTGGACACAGTTTATTTTCAGCGCATCATCACGTATGAAAAGAAAGAAACGATGGGTCAACAACGGCACAAGAGGCGCACAATCAGACACGCGCAACACATCGATAGGTGTCCAGCACCAGACGAAATACGAGACACTCATGTCCGTGACGAGACACCTAAGACGGCGTTTTCACGTCCATGCCAGCAACGCCTTTTTTTCAGGTACCAGGGCTACCAAGAGCGAGCGAGCACTCAATTGAGAGAAGAGCACTCGATTGTAGTAATAGACACGTTCGCAATGACGATGACGAGGCCAGTCAGCGACTGTTTTTCCTTGCTTGGGGTCGGACTAACGCGTAACGTCCGGAAAAATACTTGACAGTCTCGCCGACCGGCAAACCAACCCCGTCCCACACGGGAACGAAATTGACACGACCTCGACCTCGGCCACCACTATTAGTAGAGTTGCTGCAGCCAAGGACTGAGAACACAACAACAAGAGAACGAAAGTTGCAGATTTAGCGTCAGGTGTTTCCGAAAACTACTAAAATCGAGCCCGGCGATGGCCATAATTTCGGAGGAGCATCAATACTCGAACACAGGAGGCTGCAGCAGCACCGTCAGGAGCAACTTGGCCAACAGCAACCCACTGCTGTGGCTCGACAAACCCCCGTGTAGCCAAACATTGGCTTCGTCCACTCCGAGGCGAGCAAAAAATGACGGTGTTGCATACACACGTACCTGGCCGCTCTTACTCGCCGACCCCGGGGTGCCTTCCTGGTGTGCAACTCCCACCACCCCCGCCTTCCGCGCCCGCTTTTTGTTTAGGAAAGTCCTGAGCTCCATATGAACATGCTCCAGCTCTTCCTCGAGGTCTACTCCAGCCAGCGACGCTCCCGCGGAACCTCCTCTAGAGGCACGCTCCGCGGCTGCTGCTGCTGCCTTGCCGGTGCTCGTGGGCAAGTTGGCGGCGGATTCCGCCCTCAAGCCTAGGCCTCCCACCCGCGTTGGCGATGTGTCTGCCCCCGTGGCTTTAAGGTCGAGCGGCGGTGGTCGCCTTTGGAAAGACACGGGCAGCGCCACCCAACAAAAGGAGGAGATGTTGTGCAACAACGCGGGCAGCCGTCCATCAAAAATGAAATTTGCTTCGTTGTACGTACACGAAAGGAGGCGATGAGCACAGCAACTGCGACAGAATTTGGCGCCGGGGCATAGTTTTCGCACCACCCGGCTAAGCGTAAAGTTCTGTCCGGCAGGATAGAAATCGACACATCTCCCGGGAAGTCACTGAGCAGAAAAATAAGTACGTCAACAACGGCAACGCCCAAGTGAGTCCATTCCTTCCGACCCACCCCTCACCCTCACCCGTTGGCGGGACTCTCGCTGCTACTTCCGGCACTACCCGCCACGGTCGGTGGTGTTCGTACAAGAGCGTCTTCCCCCCTCGAGTCATCCTTCCACCCCCATCTGTCCGACTGCCGCCGAACTTGCGCCGCCCTCGCCGTCATTGGTCTCCTCCCCTTACCCCCACCCTCCTCCCCCAGAGCCTCGAGCCCGCCTCCGCCGCCGCCGCCGCCGTTCCACATCTTGGTGAAGGAGTTGGACGAGTCTCGTGCCGAGAAGACTGGCTTCGTGTCGAAGAAGCTCGTGCTCTGCCGCCGTGTGAGCAGGTCCGCTCGGTCTATCTTAGGGGGTATCCGTGATCGACTACTTCTGTTGCCCTCATCCACGTCGCTCCCACCCGACGTGCCCCCACCCCCGTCGCCGCCCGCCTTCTTGCCCTCCACGTCCTCCCCCCCGCTGCCGTCTGAAGGGCCCCCGGTCTCTCGCGCCGCGATCGTGGCCGCAGAGACGACTGCTCCCGGCGCCAGCTTTTTCACCTTCCGGGAGCTGAGGATGAGGCGCTCGATGTGCGTGATGGTGTTCTGAAGCTGCATCTCGGTGTCGTCCACCTCATCGAACACGTCGCTCTCGCCGCCCTCGCCGCCTCCGGGGGTCCTCACAGAGTGAGATCCGTTGGAGGAGTGTGGGGACGCTGATAGCCGGGCCATCGCGGGGGGCAACGCTGCAGCTTCTTCCGCTTTTTCCTGTTTGGGTGCGATGCGGTGGTTCAGCATGAGAGAGAAGAGAGTGGTCAATACGCGAAAAGGGCGGAACGCACACTTGAGCGGCGTGTACAAATACACCAGACGTCTACCAAAGAACAAAAATGCTCAATAACCAGCGTCCCATGATATCAATCACACTGGAGAGCGACCGACGCCGTGATACCAGATCAACACGAACCCAGCGAATAATCCCCATGTATCCGCATATTCGAACCAAGTATGCTATGAGGAAGCCACGTTGACACGCTTGACCCTTCACGCAAAACCTTCGGCCTGTTGAGAAAAGGAAAGGATAGTAATTGGCGGCCTTCCTCGTCCCCCCGTGCATCCTCACCTTAGCCCGCGCCAGCTCCTCCCGTAGCTCGGCAATCTCCTCCACGTACTTCTTGAGGAGAGTCTGTGGCGACGACAAGTCAAGTGCCACGAGCAGACCAACACGTAGGATGATGACATCACATGACCAAAACTTCAGGCAAATCGCCACCAAAAAACTACGAAGGTCAACACATCCTAAACTACAGCAGAAACTTGTAGCGACGGTGATATCAAGTAGTTACTGGGCGCCATAAGATAGAAGGAATGGGATGCGCTGCTGTTACTGCACCACATAACGGTGTGGTGGCAGAAACGTGACTGTTCGCGTGCTGGCAAGGACGGCGCGTCATCAGCGCCAACATCAACCTTGCAGGCACACAAAACAGCCAGGCTGCAGTGTCAGGGGTCCTCATTAATCGATGCTGTACCCTGTTGTTCCCAGACTACACTCGGTTTAGGCCGCTGCTGGGCGCCCTTCCAACATCGGCGCTGCTGTCTGGGTCCAACCTACGCGGCGGGGTCACGCGCCAAACAATCCCACCTTCTCATTGGAAACCTCGTTGATGGCGGCGTGGTTCTTCATTCGCTTGGCGCGGTTGGCAAACTTGAGGGTGTTGTGAGTTTCATCGCTGCTCAACAGCGCTCCCGTGACCGTGCAAATGATGGTTATCTTCGCGTTACCGCCGAGACTTGGCTGGAGTAATCGCGTCAGCTTGGAATCTCGGTAGGGGATGTACCCTCCCCGGTCCGCTGGTTTGTTACGGTAAGGTGGTAGGCCAACAAAGTAGGCAAGGACAAGAGAGAGAAGGTTCGGTGGAAAGCGGTGGCCTTGTCGCTCAACACAATAACAACGTGCTTCTCGTAATCGGGCATGTACCCCACGCCAGCTCCCCATCTTCTTCAAAAGGCAAACCAGCCTCAAAAAGAGTCATATTAAAGAGAGTAACTACATGTACACCTGCTAACCACGAGACCAACGAATGTGCAACCCTGCCTAACCAACATGCCTGGCGTCTCGACTGCTTATCATCTGCCCTTCCTGGAACATAACACGCTCTCGTCTTACGTCACGTAAGAAACACGTACGGAACCATAACCATCGACCAAGCCCTTTTCCTCGCCTCTCACCTTCCTCCGTGAGCATGCTAACCACTTTTCCGAGCGTCAAGAGCGACTTGTTGATGAACCCCCCCTCGATCTGCCGCTGCCCGTGCGTGTTCGCCAGTCGCACACTCTCCGACCCCGCCAGGTCAACCAGGCTCAGCGTGCTCACCACAGACCGCCCCCCCTTGCAAGATCGACTCCGGCTCTCGATTACCATGCGGAAGATGGTGTGGGACCGGGAAGAGTTCTGCAGGGGGAGGGGGTCACCCGGATGAAGGGAGGGGGGGGGAATTCAAGCGGATGAATCATCGCCAAACATCAAGACGACACCCACAGAAAGTCCACAACGTACGCGACGCTCTCTATGTAAGCACAAAAGGTGCAGCCTCGTGACAACACCGACAAGATGAAAGAGCACGACTGCTGCAAATCTCCTCCACCTCCAAGCGGCACCCTAGGGGTTCGGGAGCCAAGAGACCCAGCAATGCGTAGCTGTCGGTCGTTGCTGCCCGCCGGTGGAGACGTTAATATTCCTAACAATCACCTTGTTGGCGTCCGTAGAACCCACGTGTCGCTGAGCCTCTCCCGCCGAGATAAGGGCGTACACCTGCTGAGGACTTATCACCACCTCTTCTTTCACCCCTTGCAGTTGCACCCCCAGCTTCTTGCTCTCGAGGATGCGCACATTGGCCATTGTTGACGCCGGGCAGAGAAGGTCATTGATCTGCTCGTTGTAGATCTCGAGGTAGGACACGCGGAATAGGAACTCCCTTGGGAAGCGTGTACAGGGAACCAACAATGGGGGGGGGGGGGGGGGG